TGTCCCGTAGTGCCCAGGGATGTGCGGGTTAGGGTGGATTGGCCGTGTTAAATTGTCCCGTAGTGCCCAGGGATGTGAGGGTTCGGGTGGATTGGCCGTGCTAAATTGCCCCGTAGTGCCCAGGGATGTGCGGGTTAGGGTGGATTGGCCGTGCTAAATTGTCCCGTAGTGCCCAGGGATGTGCGGGTTAGGGTGGATTGGCCGTGCTAAATTGTCCCGTAGTGCCCAGGGATGTGCAGGTTAGGGTGGATTGGCCGTGCTAAATTGCCCCGTAGTGCCCAGGGATGTGCGGGTTAGGGTGGATCGGCCGTGCTAAATTGCCCCGTAGTGCCCAGGGATGTGCGGGTTAGGATGGATCGGCCGTGCTAAATTGCCCCGTAGTGCCCAGGGATGTGCGGGTTAGGGTGGATCGGCCGTGCTAAGTTGTCCCATAGTGCCCAGGGATGTGCGGGTTAGGGTGGATTGGACAGGTAAAGTCGGGATTACGGAGGATAGAGTGTGGATGGGATGGTCTGGAGGGTTTGTGCAGACTCGATGGGCCGAATGGCCTCCTTGCGCCCTGTATGATTCTGTCCTACAGTTACCTCCCAACAATCCTTTCGTCCCTTTGTTCCTGAAAACACTACCTCCCTCTGCCTTCGATATATTGAAAAATTTTACATCCATCGCCTTTTACAGTACCGAATCCTGGGATAGCAGGGGAAATTTGGACAGGTACGTGGATAGGAAAGGTTTCGGGGATCGGGGGGGGGAGGATATGGGGCAAATCCAGGCAAGAGGGACGGGTTTAGTTTGGGAAACTTGGTCAGCACAGATGAGTTGGGCGGATGGGTCTGTTTCCATGTTGGATTGTTGCTGTACGGAGAGACATTGGATCGATTAGGATGATATTCACTGGGAGTTTAGGAGAATGAGACAGGGGTCTCATAGAAACCTATAAAATTCTAACGGGACTAGACAGGGGGAAAGTCAGGAAGGACGTTACCAATGATCCAGGGGTTCAGAACCAGGGGGTCACGGTCTAAAGGAGATGGGGGTGGGACTGAGAAGAGGGAGAAATGAAAGCGGGGAGCCTGTGGAATTTTCTGCCCACAGAGAATTCTCGGGGTCAAAGCGAGGACCGGGGACTGAGTTGGACGATCCCATTGAATGGCAGGGAAGGGCCGAGTGGCCTGTTTTCTAGGCTTCTCTGCGATCACTGACCCGACCAATGCCCCTCTCGGAACACTCACCACTGGAACAGTCCTGCCCCCGCCATTCGGGCGCACACTGGCACTGGTCAGGGCTGAGACATCGTCCGTGCACACATTCCTGGGCACATTGAGCTGGAGAGAAGGAGAGAGAGAGAGAGAGAGCTGAACCTTAGCACCAAACAGTTGACTGTATCCCTCAGTGTTGACCACCACCCACTCTCCCCTCCCTTTGACCCCACCTCCCCTCCTACTCTTTCTTTGGTTTGGTAGGGGAGGAGATGCAATGTTTATCTCTCAACCAGACACTACGTTCCCCCCTCCAGGCCCGGGAAACGCTCATGGGATTCACGGATCCTCCAGTTGCAAGAGGAGTCTGGCACTGCTTCCAGGTCGAGGCGTGGTTGCCGATGCTTGGGAGGTGGGGTTGGGGAGGACGATGTGGGGGGAGAATGTGACGTCGAACCTTGAGTTAACTCCCCCATCGAACCCCACGCCCCCTTTTGTCCCTTGTTTGGGTGGCTGCCGGTTGAAGAACAGGAGCAGGGATTGGGGAGCTGGAGGGGGTGTGTGGTCCCAGGGGGTGGGATTGATTTAGCCAGCGCGGCTTTTCTTTAAAAACGTGTAAACCGACGACCTGGGTCGTTAACGCGAGGCTGCCTCGTGGGATCTTGCTGTGCGTGTCTCCGAAAAAGAAGCGTTTCATTGACCGCGATGGTGGGAGGGGGAGCGTAAGGTTCAATGGGAACTTTGAAAAGGTGTGGGGGCGGGGGAGGGTGGGTCAGAGACATTGCGGACGTGGGTGGGGTGGGGGAAGATTTGCAGGAGACGTGGGGGCGGAGGGCGGGTGTGGGGGGGGGGGGGGGGAGAGTGGGACTGTTTCGAGAACCTTTTCGTAGAGCTAGCAGGGCCCGATGGCCTGAATGACCTCCTCCCTGCCGGTTTGTTAAGCAGGCAAGTTCGCTCACGATATCCGATTTGACCTCCGAGCACAAGCTGAGGCCTGAGCACCTTCGAGTTCAAGGGTCAGCAGAGGGCGGAATTACAATGGAAAAGCGGAGATGGGGGAGGGTGACACTGTGCGTACCGATCATCACCCCCTCCCTCTTCCCCATCCCCATCCCCCTACCCCACTGGCAAAAGCCTTCCCTCAAACAGTGGCCGTCTTCTCTGTTCATCAGCCCCTCAGAGATTGTGTCAATGGCGGAGGGTCAGGGTGGCCATCTTGGAATCCCGGCCCACTGTCAGACTAGGCCAAGGGCTGTTCTGGAGGCAGCCTCTCACGGGGTCCACCCTACCGCCACCATTTTTGACGGTTTGGCTACTTTTCGAGCGAGGGAGCTGCGCAGACGCGATGGAGTTTGCCTGGGATGTGTCAGTGTGTTGGGGCCGTGACCTCGCTGCCTCACGCCCTTGGCCTAACCTCTCCGAGACCCGACCTCTCCCGCTCAGGCCACTCTCAGGAACAGCATACTCGCTGCGTGGCATCACCTCCGTCTCTCTCTCTCTCTCTGCTTTCTGTCATCTTTCTCCCAGATTTTCTGTCTCTCTCTCTCCCCCACTCTGTCTCTCCACCTGTTTTACTATCCCTCTCACCATATCCCTGTCTCTGTCTGTCCCTCTCTCACACTCACTCGTCTTTCTCGTTTCTTTCTCTCTCTCTCTCTTTCAATACCTCCGTCTCCCTCTCTATATTACACACAGTCTGTATCTCTCTATTGGACTGTTATTCTATCCCTGCTCTCTGTATTTCTGTCTTTCTCCATCTCTCTTTCTGTGACTCTGTTCTACCCTCAATATCTCTCTGTCTGTTCATTTCTCACGTGTGACTCTCTCTCTCTGTCACTCTCTTAACTTATCTCTCTTTCTTTCTGTTTCTCTCTCTCTCTGGTTGTCTCTAAGTTTCTGTCTGCCTCTAATTCCCTCTCTCTCTCTGTCTCTTCGCCCCCCTCTCTCTGTCTTTCTCTCTCTCTCCCTCTCTGCCTCTCCCTTGACCCCCTTCTCTGCTCCACCCTCTATCTCTCAGTCTGTATATCTTTCACAGAATTTCTCTGTCACTTTCTCTGCCTATATCTCTATTTCTCTCTGTTTCCACCCACCCCTCGCCCCACCACACCTCTGTTTTTCTCTCTCTGCGCCTCTCTCTAAATCACACCCCCTCATCTCTCTCCCCTATGTCTCTCTCCATGTCCCTCTCTCTTCGCCCTCTCTCTCTCTCCATCAGAGGGAGTTAATAGAGAGTGTCTCTCTCTCTCTCTCAGGCTCTCAGGGACCCCTGTTAAAGAAGGAATCTTACTGTCTCTGTCTGTCTGTTTGTCTCTCTCTGTCGCTCTCTCTCTCGGTATCTGTCTCTCTCCCTCCCTCCATCAGGGACCCCTGTTAAAGAGTGTGTGTCTCTCTCTCTCTCTCCCTCCTTCCCTCCCTCCATCA